AATAGCCGAAAAATCTTACTTTTTATCAATTTTTTCCGATTTTTTCTGGGTTTCCGCCATTATTACGGGTCCGTTTACACCAGAGTATTCTCCCACCACTTGTCGTCATCTGAAGTGTCCATAATCGCCACTAGGTGTCGCCCTGTAAATAAGGAAATATCTCCAAAATTCCCATTTTTTGCTGTTTTTTCTAGATTTTTCGTGAATTGTAATAATTTTTGAACATTTCTTCAATCCTGCTGGGCTTATTTGCTGTCTCAGATACGTAGTGCTCCATATCGCCGCTAGAGGTCGCTTTTAACTGCTGAAAAGACCTGGAAAAACTGATTTTTGCTTCAAAATTCCAAAATACGTCTTGTTTTTGAATTTTTTTCTGTAAATTTCACACTTCGGTGAATTATTTTTCCTGTTCTGTTGTATACTTGTGAATTTAGCCGCTAGAGGTCGTATTTTCTATAAGAAAACATCATCAAACCACTCGATTTTCCGAATTTCCGTTCATTTTCGTACTTTTTTTCCCAATATTCTCGAGAATTCCAACAATTTCGCTGTTTCTACTGAGTTTCGACTTAAGAAAAGTTCCAATTTTCGTAAGTTCCTCTTCATAACTCCTTCCAACAATGTCGTTAGACGCTTTCATTCGTAATGCTGACCAGCTGGTTGCATTCAATGCTGGTATCGGCGATGGAACTATCCCGGCGACTTCCGCTCAGTTAGTCAAGGTCCATATTTCCGAGTGCACGGGCTTGTGGGAAAAGGCAAAGTCTTCCTTTGATCTTTTCATGATTGAGCAAGCTAATGAAGAAGGTGATGAGGAAGAGGGTGGTGAGGATGTAGCTTCAAATCGAGACACATTCCAGGCTAAGTACAATAGCACATATGTGACTTATTGTACGTGTTTAGCGCGGTTGACAGAACTTTTGGAAAGTTTTCAGCCTCCACCTGTTTCAAAAGATCCGGTTGCTTCTCCAGCGTCAACCGGCGGCAGTCCCATTTCAGACAACCGTGCAGAGCAAAGCTCTAGTCATTCGTTCCACCTTCCTCCGTGCGACACGGAAATCTTTGATGGCGATTATATGTCATGGCCAACATTCCGAGACATGTTCACGGCTGTGTACATCAAAAATTCCAGGCTCAGTCCAGTTGAGCGTTTATTCCACTTGTCTCAGAAGACCAAAGGTGAAGCACGTGATATAGTCCAAAGGTCTCCATTGACTAACCAGGGATTCCAATTGGCTTGGCAGAACTTGTGTTCGAGGTTCGAAAATAAACGAATTCTGGTAAATGGTCAACTGAAGGTTCTTTTCAATCTTCCTTTCATTAAATCTGAATCTGCTTCTGCGCTAAAGGACCTTCAACGCGATATTAATTCCTGTATATCTGCGCTGGCATTATACGATATCGACGTCACAAGTTGGGATCCAGTTTTCGTCTTCCTTTGTTCCAATCGCCTTCCAGACTCAACTCTGACGTTGTGGGAGCAAGGTCTGACAGACAAAACATCACTTCCTAGGTGGGAAGACCTTGATTCCTTCCTCACAAATCGGTATCGTACCCTTGAGTCCGTTTCAGAAATGCGAAACAATTCAAAATCTGAGGACAACAAAGGTAAATCCAATTCCAAACCAAATCCGAAAGGTTCGAAATTCAGTTCTTTCCAGACTAAGGTTTCTGCTCCGAAGTGTCTATTGTGCACCAATTCTTTGCATATTCTTCGGAAGTGTCCTCGATTCATAGCAATGGACATTAAAAATCGTATGTCCGAGGTGGAAAAGCAGGGGTTATGCCTGAATTGTTTCTCCAAAACACATCATGTCCGGAATTGCACTAGCAAAAACAATTGTTTCGAGTGCCAAAAGAGACACAACACAATGCTTCACGATAGTTCAGTGCATTCACGACCATCCAACCCTTCTTCCAACTCAAATAGTAGCGCCAATCTGAACGCCAGCTCTGTTCCATTCACTCCTAATTCCGTACAGTCCACTAGTTCTGGGAACGGAGTTATCCAATCCTGCTTCACGACGAGTTCTAGGGGAGTATTATTGGGGACCGCGCTTGTAAATGTCATGCACTTAGGAGTTTCATATCAAGCACGGGTTCTTCTTGATTCCGGTTCCCAAGGAACATTTGTATCCGAGAAATTCTTCAACAAATTAAAGCTTCCCTATGAACGAACGAACGTTCAGATTTCCGGCCTCAATAATACCACTGCAGCTTCCGTTCGAAAACTTTGCAGTGTTCTTTTATGCTCCAGATTTGACAATTCCATGCAAGTTTCCGTGCAGGCGTTTGTACTTCCCCATTTGTCGGGAGATCTACCATCACAGACTCTGCCGACGTCCTTATTCGCTCGTCTTCCCAACATCAAGCTAGCAGATCCACATTTCTATAAGAGTTCCATTATTGATCTGCTAATTGGAGGTGATTTTATTCCGGAAATAATGAGATCAGGGGTTATGCACAATGTGTGCGATTCCTTAATGGGCCAAGAGACCATCTTCGGATGGATTCTCACTGGTCCAATTCCTATTTCGAGTCCGACTACTTCCACTGTCGTCTCTAACTTCTGTGAGATTTCTCTTGATAAGGATATTTGCCGTTTCTGGGAGGTAGAGAATTGCCCCAGAAAGAAATTTGTTTCTAATTCCGATAAATTCTGTGAAGAATTATTTGCTTCAACTACCGCGAGGAATAAGGATGGCAGGTATGTCGTTCGTCTTCCCTTTAAGGAAGGTTTTCCGAATAGTAAACTCCTAGGACACTCCCGTCCAAGCTCCGTCTCTCAATTCCTTCGCAACGAGAGCCACCTACTCCGAAATCCAAATTTCAAGATAGAGTATGATCAGGTTGTTAAAGAGTACATACAGCTGAACCATATGATTCCGGTTCAGGCTCCGAGTTCCAATAGCGATACCCTCCACTACTATATGCCTCATCATTCCGTTATTAAACCGGAGAGTTCTACCACAAAGGTTCGTGTGGTATTCAATGCGTCTTCTGCTTCATCCAATGGTCAAAGTCTTAACGACATTTTGCATACAGGTCCAGTGTTGCAGAATGATTTGACCACGCTAATTCTCAAATGGCGCTTATTCCGCTACGTGTTCAATGCTGACATCCAAAAAATGTACCGCCAAATTCTCGTCCATTCCGATCATACTCCGTTCCAAAGAATTGTATTCCGCAACCACCCAGGTGAAAGCATCCAAGATTTCGAGCTACAAACTGTCACATTTGGTGTCAATTGTGCTCCGTACTTGGCTATTCGCACACTTCTTCAACTAGCTGATGATGTCCAAGTTAGCCATCCGAAGGCAAGCTCGATTATCCGTAATTATATGTACGTGGATGACGTACTTTCTGGTGCACATTCAATTTCCGAAGCAGTTCAATCCAGAAACGAGCTTAAATCCGCTCTGGCATCGGCTGGTTTCTCCCTTCGAAAATGGACAGCGAACACAAAGGATATTCTAGCGGGTCTTCCAAATGACCATTTGTTGTGTGAAGATTTCCTAAACTTCGACGATAGTAGCACAGCGAAAACGCTAGGAATTCGTTGGAACGCTCGTTCAGATTCATTTTTCTTTGTCACAACGCCTTTTCCGTCTTCATGTTCCTATACCAAGAGGGAAGTTCTTTCTCAGATCTCCAGACTGTTCGATCCTGCAGGCTGGCTTTCCCCATGCATCGTTGTGGCAAAAATTATAATGCAGAGAATATGGTCCGATGGTACGGATTGGGACGAAGTTATCAGTCCGGCCACATTGTCCCAGTGGAAGATATTTCAATCCGACTACTCGAATCTTGATCAAGTTCGAATTCCAAGATGGCTCCATTATGTTCCTTCCGCTGAAGTTCAATTTCATGGGTTTTGCGATGCCTCTGAAAAGGCATACGCGGCCGCTATATATGTGCGAATAGCTCGAGGTACCTCCGTATTCACACACCTGGTGTATTCCAAAACAAGAGTTGCTCCAGTCAAAACGTTATCCATTCCACGTCTAGAGCTTTGTGGGGCTGTCCTCTTAGCAGAGATGATTGATACGTTACTTCCGACTCTCGATCTTCCTAACTATTCCTTGTTCTGCTGGACAGACTCGACAATCGTTCTCTCCTGGCTTTCCAAACCGCCATGCCATTGGTTAACGTTCGTAGCCAATCGTGTTTCCAATGTTGTTCAAGTGGTGGATCCTTCTAAGTTCCATCATGTTCCTTCCGAATCCAACCCAGCAGACTTAGCAAGCCGCGGTCTCTTCCCATCCGATATCATTGATAATGATCTCTGGTGGCACGGACCGGTTTGGTTACGAGAGTCTCCAGATCAGTGGCCAGACTTTTCTACTGAAGAACTGTCCGTAACCAGCGTCGAACGAAAACCCGTTCGTGTTCATTTTCCCTATTTTAAGGCGACGGACGATATTGTGGGGAAGATTTCATCATATCAACGAGCATTGCGAGTTTTTTCATATGTGTATCGTTTCCTTCATCGTTTCCATCCTCGTTACCGTTCTCCTGGTGCACAACCACTCTGTAATTCCGATATCATTGGAGGTCGGAATATTCTTATCCGATGGTATCAAAAGTTCAGTTTTCCAGAGGAGTACAGATCCCTATCGCTCAGGAAACCGATTTCTACGTCCAGTTCCCTTCTATGCTTGAATCCGTACCTTGACTCTAAGGGGATTATCCGTTCATGCGGACGTTTAGAATCGGCTCCTGGCATTCCTGATGATGAGAAGCGTCCAATCATTCTTCCATACAATTGCAAGCTAGCTCGTTTCTACGTTCAATTCATTCACAATATCACTATTCATGGTGGAAATCAGCTTGTTCTTCGATTAATACGATCCCAGTATTGGATTCCTAAAGTCAAGAACCTGATTAAAACAACGATCAATAAGTGTCGCACTTGTCTTCTGTATAAGAAACGATGTCAAAGACAGATCATGGCTGCGCTCCCTCCTGAGCGCACTGAAATTTCTCGTCCCTTCGCTCGCACGGGCCTCGATTTCGCTGGCCCTTTTGAGATCAAGAGCTATTGCGGTCGCGCATGTCGGATCACGAAAGGGTATGCGTGCGTTTTCGTTTGTTTCTCGACCAAAGCGATTCATCTGGAGGCAACATCCGATCTTTCCACTCCCACGTTCTTGGCGGCTTTCCATAGATTTGTTTCACGGCGCGGATGTCCAGCACATCTGTATTCAGATAACGGTACGACCTTCGTGGGGGCGTCCAAAATACTGGCGAGAGAATTTATCCAAGCCTCTCGCACAGCGCTAATAGAAATTTTTTCCGTCCAAAATCTGAGTTGGCACTTCATTCCACCCGGAGCACCTCATATGGGTGGCCTCTGGGAAGCTGGGGTTAAGAGTTTCAAAACCCATTTCCGAAAGTTCGCCGGCTCCTACAAGTTCACGTTTGAAGAGTTTTCGACACTTCTCTCCAGAATTGAGTCCTGTTTAAACTCTCGTCCATTGTCTCCTATTTCCAGCGATCCAACTGATTTTGCTGCGTTGACGCCAGGTCATTTCCTCATCGGGACTCCCATTTTAGCTCCTATTGATCCAAATATTGATGAGAGTCCAATTTCCTTGATAAATCGTTGGAAACGTTTGAAAGCGATCCATCAGAGTTTCTGTGCTCGGTGGAAAACAGAGTATCTCCGTGAGCTTCAAAAGCGCCACAAGTGGCAGACTCCTGAGAAAGATATTGAAGAGAACACACTGGTCGCCATATATGATGAGAATCTTCCGCCAAATTCATGGCGTCTGGGTAGGGTTTCCAAGACGTATCGCGGCTCTGATGGCCATGTTCGTGTCGCAGATCTTGTGACTCAGAAAGGCGTTATCACTCGTCCAATTACAAAACTTGTTGTCCTTTCCGATAACTAAGTTCCGAATTTCTTTTTATTTCTTTCCGTCCTATGTTGTTCTGTCCTTACCTTGTCCTTAGCAACCATGCCCAAACACGTTTCCAACAACAATAAACGCAGTCATTCCAATCCAGCTCCATATAAACGACAGTTTCTATGCCCTCTCTGCCAGCGTCCTCATGCGTTGCGTCGATGCCACAAGTTCCTGGATATGAACATGTCGGAACGCTTAGATACTGTCCGTCAGCACAAATACTGCGTGAATTGCTTGGCAGTAGATCACTCGAATGGGTCGTGCTTCAGTGACAAGGGGTGTCGCCATTGCAAGAAGTTTCACCACACTCTCCTTCACGTCAATCCCAAAGTCCGCGATCAGATTTTACCACGACATGCGCCCTCGGTTAGTTCCGGAGCCAGTTCTCGGTCCCCTTCACCGCAGCCGTCGACTTCTACGGCGGCTCGTCGCCAACCTGCGTCTGCACCGGCACCAGCGAAAAGGGGGTCCCTAACATCTTTGATCCAGCAGAATCGGACCATTTTGTTGCCTACCGTCCTGGTGAGGATTGATGCGAAGAATGTGGCCAGGTGTCTCTTGGATTCCGCTTCGCCGGTCAGCAGAGTTTCGAGAGCGTTTGTGGAGAAGATAAAGTTAAACACGCTGACCCTGAGAGAGGAGACGGTATGCCAACTGACATTATTTTCGAGGTTTGATTCGAAGGTGAAGATTGAGGGCACATTCCGGGTTGACAATCGGATCACGACAAAGACGCCAGCTGAATCGCTCCCGGAGGAGTTCAAAAGGAACTTCCCTCATTTGTTCTTTGCAGACCCCACGTTTTATAAATCTGCAGGGGTCGACATAGTGATTGGAGTAGACCTATATCCGAAGGTCGTGTCTGAAGGGGTATATGCAAGGAGCGGGTTGCCAACGGCTCAGAGCACGGTGTTTGGCTGGGCGATATATGGGCTATGTTCATAATTGGGACATCCCTATTTTTTTTTCTATTCTCTTTTCTAAACTCAAATGAATTACTAATAAACATGAACTGAAGAATGCACTATTGTTTTCCTTTTCCCCCAAAGCACAAACTTTATCTTTCCAGATGTCCCTCCTGAAGTTACAGATGCGAGTTCGGATTCCTTTCGGCGCTGATGTTAGATGTAATCCTCCCGCTGTTTCATCATTATATTTCTTACTTACTATAATCTCATATCCATTTCATTCATTACTTTACATCGCTTGTATTGTAAGCAGTGGGGACACACACGGGTTTTCCGTTTCATTCTTTTATTGCAGTGATACTGCAAGGGGGCCGGTAATGTTCATGCGAAAGTTTGATGATCTGGTCACCCTAATTCAAAAGTTAAGTTTCGCGCGCACTCGTAAGTTGTGCTTGTGCTGTAGCGCTCAATCACTCAATATGTCCGTTTGTGTCCTCTCTGTGGTTTTTCGATTTTCCTTTGTTCCAAATAAAATCACTTGTTACCTTAACGTCAACCACAACTGTTTGAATTTGGTAAGCGCTATTCAAATCTTCAAATTTGAATTCTAAATAAAGAACCAGAATTGTTCTTTCAAACAAAACTAATACGCTCGTTTTATTTCCTTTCCTTTTTCCTTATCCACATCTGCAAAACGAGAGTAAAATATTTCGAATTCCACGGAATAGTTTTCTGTCCAAAACAGCAGTATAACCAGATTTCTACTCCACAATTTTTGGCATATTTTCAATTTGAATTAAACATTTGGTAATATTTCTACAGCTAACAAAACTAAGTAGTTGGGATATCAGGATATCATATACAAATCGCATTTATGGCCCGATTCTTACGAAATTTTGCATGGGGATAAGATGAGGGTCAGAATAGAAGCCTACTCTTTTTAGGGGTTGAAATGGACCAAAAAACTGCAAAATTGTCAGGAGGTTGTAATTATCGCCCGATCCTCACACACATTTGAATGGGGGTTACCGGACATTGCAAAAGCCAAGCAGTTTTGGATGGCCATCCAAAAATATTCAATGTGTCCATTCCAGTGACTTTTTGGAGAATTCACAAATACAGGAAAGACGCACTTCTGACTATTTCGTTAATTAAATTGGAAATATATATAAACTGTACGTTTATTATAGTGTTGTAGGGTATTCAACGATCGGCCCCGCTCGACTGTAGCCTTTGATTACTTGTTTTTTTTTTTAAATCTGTGTTTTATAAAAAATTGAGTTTTAATTGGGTCACGCTAGCACACCAGTTCCCAAGCTTATGAGTGATTTTATAAATTTCATGTATTTCATATCACTCATACACAAAATTCTCATACAAACGATCGAAGTCTGGAGAACTGGATAAGAAACTAATTCTATCGATCGAACTAGATTGCCAAAACACTACTCATCTGTCTATCTGCTATTCAATTCCAATTTTTGCCATATTTTGAAATAGTCAATTATTCCCAAAACGAAAGCAGACGCTCCAAAAAATGCTTTGAATATGTAAATATTTGTGTATAATTTGTACAAATTGCCAACCCTGATGACAATGTGTAGTGTAAACGCACAAACAAACAAACTTGCCAAGTTACCTACATTTGTTTGGGTTTTCGAGCAAAAGAATTCTTGTAACTATTGTTGTTGTTGTTTCAGCCTCTGGGCTATTGCTTAAAGTTCAAAATACTTTGTAGTACCAACGGCGTTTGTTGGTGATGCCTTACTGGCGTTATTTTCTCTCTCTCTCTCTGTTTCATTTTCAGTTGCTACAACTCTACACACACATATATACCACATTGCATTGTGTGGGTGTAGAATTGTTGTAAACTATGTTAATGTATTCATATGTTGAGGGGTGCTCACTTGAAGATTTTTTTTCTACCAACAAAAATAAGAGTATGAATATGGGTATGTGTGTTTGTCGGCATGTAAAGAAGGTTTACAGAGATCCTAACTCATGCAGTTGTTGCTGTTGCTTATTTTTTTTTGTTTCTAGTCCATGTATACACTTGACTGACTAACTGACTGTGTGTGTTTGTGTGTGCGTGTTCTCATTGTCGTCGGCACACAACAACAACACCGAAATGAAAAAGAATAACAACAATATACAGTACCTGTGGATTCATTTTGTTTACATTTGAATGTTTTTTCTTTAGCCCTTTGGGGCAAATCTTTAGCATTAACCAACCAAGCATCCAGTCAGCCAGCCAGCCAGAGTAACATGCATTTGAATGGAATGCCTGATGAAATATTGTTGTTGTTGCTGTTTGCCATCCTGACAGTTTATTGACATCGAAATGCAGTCGTTTTTGTGTCAAACTTTTATTTTTATTTTCATTTCATAAATGTTTTAATATTGACTTCGTTCGTTCGTTGTAGGTTATTCCGTTTTAATCCTGACAAGGATTTTTATTTCAAGTGAAGCAAAAAGTTATGGAGATTACGAGAAGCAAGTGAGGGAGAGAATAGGTTGTGTTGGAATTTAAGGAGTGCGATGATTTCTAACATACATACACAATGAAGAAAGCAGGTGTTTTCGCTTGTGGCAGTACGTTATCGGAATTTGGAAAGATAGAGTGTAAGGACATGCCAGTTTCCCTTAGCTTCTTTGTGGAGATATAATGATATTTTCCGAAATGGGTATTCGTCAACATCTTTGATTTGGAAGTCGAAGTCAAGTGGAGCATCTTTCGATACATAATTCTTTACAAACTTCCGCATTTAATTGCAATGGACTCCGGAAAAGGACGATGTAGGTCCATACCTTCTTTTACCTCTCCTATTATGGGTCACAATTTGAATATTCTCTAGAATATAAAAGAGAAGTGATATAACTGACAGACTGATCGAAATTTAATGCCCAGACGAAACAGCTGAAGCTAGAATCCTGAAACTTTGCACGAGAGTCAGTGTGATAAGGCTGGGTTTTGGGAAATTCGTTATAAAAGGTTATGAAAAAAATTTAATAATTCGTATAGGGCACACGGAATGAGAGTCGATGATGGAACGCGGGATCGATGTACCAAATGTTTTTTTGGAAATTCGAACTTTAAGATTACGAAAAGTTCTAAAATGGTACTAAACTTCTAAAATGGTACAATTTGGTATTATGTGAACGGATAAAGCTAAAAACTAGACATTTGATATGAGAATCAAGATTGGAAAGTAAGTTTGATATATGACGGTAGTTTTGAAAATGTGTACCAAGTATGCGAACTGTACTAAATGGTACTAAATTTGGTTTAAGGTGAAGGGATGAAGCCGGAATTTGAAAAAAAATGTATTGAAATCACTGTTCGTAATAGGTTTGAGATAAAAAAAAAACGTGATTTTGGAAATATGTACTACAAATGCACGAAAAGTACCAAATAGTACTATATTTGGTACAATTTGGTATTGAGGGAACAGATAGTGTTTGTTATCTGAAATTTGGTATTAGGGCCGCTGTTTATTTGCAGACTGGAGATATGGAGGTGGTTTCGGAAATGTATACTATAATTACACGAAAAGTACTAAATGGTACTATATTTGGTATTGGGTGAAGGGATAGAGATATAATTCTGAAATTTGATATTTAGATTACTGATGGTATATGTGTTTGAGATTTTTCGGAGGTTTAGAAAATGCGTCTTAAATTAAATTTTGTATTGAATTTGATATTGAGAACTTATTTGGTATCTTGAATTGAGATATGGAGGTGGTTTTGGAAATGAGTACTAGTACTAAATAGTACGCAATGTACTAAATATGGTACCTGGTGAAAGGATAGAGTTGGAATGCAGAAATTTTATGTTGAGGTCTCTGTTTGTATGTGGCATTCAGATATGAAGTGGTTTTGGAAGTGTGTAGTACATGTGTACGAAAGGTATATTTAGTACAATTTGGTATTGGGTGAACATATAGTGCTTGAAATCTGAAATTTGGTAGAATGGTCGCAAAATTCACGTTTGATAGTCCTTGGAAGATATTTAAAAAAATCCACGCTGCTGATAGTCCTTGGAAGATATTTTAAAAAATCCACGCTGCTGATAGTCCTTGAAAGATATTTTAAAAAATCCACGCTGCTGATAGTCCTTGGAAGATATTTTAAAAAATTCACGCTGCTGATAGTCCTTGGAAGATATTTTAAAAAATCCACGCTGCTGATAGTTCTTGGAAGATATTTTAAAAAATCCACGCTGCTGATAGTCCTTGGAAGATATTTTAAAAAATCCACGCTGGCGATAGTCCTTGGAAGATATTTTAAAAAATCCACGCTGCTGATAGTCCTTGGAAGATATTTTAAAAAATCCACGCTGCTGATAGTCCTTGGAAGATATTTTAAAAAATCCACGCTGCTGATAGTCCTTGGAAGATATTTTAAGAAATCCACGCTGGTGATAGTCCTTGAAAGATATTTAAAAAAATCCACGCCTGATAGTCCTTGGAAGATATTTTAAAAAATCCACGCTGCTGATAGTCCTTGGAAGATATTTAAAAAAAACCACGCTGCTGATAGTCCTTGGAAGATATTTTAAAAAATCCACGCTGCTGATAGTCCTTGGAAGATATTTTAAAAAATCCACGCTGCTGATAGTCCTTGGAAGATATTTTAAAAAATCCACGCTGCTGATAGTCCTTGGAAGATATTTTAAAAAATCCACGCTGCTGATAGTCCTTGGAAGATATTTTAAAAAATCCACGCTGCTGATAGTCCTTGGAAGATATTTTAAAAAATCCACGCTGCTGATAGTCCTTGGAAGATATTTTAAAAAATCCACGCTGCTGATAGTCCTTGGAAGATATTTTAAAAAATCCACGCTGCTGATAGTCCTTGGAAGATATTTTAAAAAATCCACGCTGTTGATAGTCCTTGGAAGATATTTTAAAAAATCCACGCTGCTGATAGTCCTTGGAAGATATTTTAAAAAATCCACGCTGCTGATAGTCCTTGGAAGATATATTTAAAAAATCCACCCCTGATAGTCCTTGAAAGATATTTTAAAAAATCCACGTCTGATAGTCCTTGAAAGATATTTTAAAAAAATCCACGTCTGATAGTCCTTGAAAGATATTTTAAAAAATCCACGCTGCTGATAGTCCTTGGAAGATATTTTAAAAAATCCACGCTGCTGATAGTCCTTGGAAGATATTTTAAAAAACCACGCTGCTGATAGTCCTTGGAAGATATTTTAAAAAAACCACGCTGCTGATAGTCCTTGGAAGATATTTTAAAAAATCCACTCTGCTGATAGTCCTTGTAATATATTTAAAAAATCCACGCCTGACAGTCGTTGAAAGATATTAAAAAAAATCCAAGTCTAATAGTCCTTGAAAGATATTTAACAAAAAAATTCGTGTCTGATAGTCCTTGGAAGATATTTTAAAAAATCCACGCTGCTGATAGTCCTTGGAAGATATTTAAAAAATCCACGCTGTTGTTATTCTTTGGAAGATATTTTAAAAAATCCACGCTGCTGATAGTCCTTGGAAGATATTTTAAAAAATCCACGCTGCTGATAGTCCTTGGAAG